ACTGAGCTAAGTCACGAAGCAGATCATATAGCCGAGCTAGGACTTCATTTATCTTGCCTGCATTTCTTTTAGCACGGTCCGATCGATTTGTGCTTAACACCTTTATTTTTCACTTTGCAGACTTAGGTTGCCCAGGCACTCCTTTGAGTGCTCAACCGAGCTACTCAGCACCTTTCTTCGACCGAGCTAAAACTCTGATTTAATTTATTCATAACTTAAACCATAAATGGGAAAGTATAGGTTTTTAGTAGACACACCTGGTGGCTTGGCCGAATTCCGAAGGGAGTATAACATTCCTAACGATGTCCATCTCACCCTAGCCAAACAAGATATCACACCATGGGGAAACCAAGGTTTTGTACCCTTTAACGTTATTTCCATTGTGGAGTGCGGTTTATGCTTCCTTGTACAGCCTTTACTTTGTGAATTCCTTAGGCAAACTAGGATATGCCCCACCCAACTTTTCACAAATTCATACCGCATAATTAATGGTATATCCGAACTAAACCGCCGAGCTGGCATTAACCTCGGCTTAGCCGAACTCTTCCATCAATATTCCATAGGATCAAAAGAAGATGGTTGGATCTACTATCTAAGAATATGCCGTCGCCGAGAGAAAATAATAAAGGACACACCGGATAAAGACTTGAACGATGATAATTTTCTCTCGATATCTGGAAATTTTGAAGACCACCAAGCCCAGATTCCAGGCCGTAGTATAAACTGGAAGAAAGGAACCCCCGGTATAATTACCTCGGCTTCTTTGTATGCCTCCCTTTATTTCGGTTTCCTGTTCCTGAACCGAACTGACAGTTGTCTTCTTTATGCAGACTCAGCCCACCTCAAGTCACTGTACAGTTACCCCAACCTAAACACACTTCGCGCCGCACTACGGTATCCTGAAAGAAGTTGGGTCAAGCTGCTGAATTTTGAACCGACGTACAGATACAGCAGTCGACGAAAAGCCAGAGTAACGGATTTTTTGTTGGAGGCATCTCCTGAACCGGATCCAACCTTGCCACAAATTAACCTGGTCCGTACTACTGCTGAACAAGAGATGGCCAAGAGGAATAGAGTAAGGGCCCTGCTAACCAAAACACACCAAGCCGAGGTACCAGCACCCACCCAGACTCAGGAAACCGTGGTGGCCCTTCCATCTCAACAACCCTCCTCATCTCGCCCGAGCAAACGTGCCCGGACTACCGTAACCGAGCAACGACTTATTGACGAAGATGAAACCGTGATTCCTCGAACCACTATTTCAAGCCCTCCACCAAGTCCACCGCCGAAGCGTTCTGACCGGGCTAGTTCTTCCAAGTGGGTTCCAAAGCTCACTTTCCAGAACCGAGCCATTGAGGACACTGATTCGGTGGTTTCTGAAGAGGACCACTTAATAGCATTCAACCTGTCCAAGAGTGTCTGCCTTCCAGCCGATATGGCGCACCATGACAATCTTACAGAGCTGCGTGCCATTCGTTCGACTACAAAATCCATGGTTTTGGTAAGTTCTGTTTCCTACCCCCAAATTTCAACATCTTTCGGTTCGGTTTATCTGAAGACTGTATCACTCCTTTTGCAGGCCCTGCAACAGAATCATGTCGCACACAAGCATGTGTTGGAACTTCGTAGGACCACTAAGGAGGCCATGGCAGAGGCCAAAGCAAAAACAGCCGAGCTAAAAGAGTCCAAGCGGTAGATGACCGAGCTAGAAGCCAAAGTAACCAGGCTAACCGGCCTAGTTAATTCAGCCAAAGTAGAAAAATAGAGGGCTGCAGCCGAGCTGAAAGACAAGTACCTTTGCCAGCTTGCAAAGCTTGAGAAGAAAAAGGATACCGAGATCACCAAGCTAAAGGAGAGTGTGAATGACGCCGAACTCCGGGGCTTCAAGGAGGGAGAGGCAACTTATACTCAACAATGCGAAGCTGCCAAAGATCTGTTCATCAAGTGCGGATGGAGGGCGGCATTCACAAAATGACAACCACCCGAACGGAATGCCAATCGACGCCCCACCTCAAGGCGTAATTATAATTTTTTTTTTTTGAAATGTATGAAAAACTCTTATTGAGAGCTTGTTTTAGTCCCGAAAATGTCAGAGTCGGCCTTCTTAGAGCATCCCTAGCAAAATCCCTAAACCCTCTCCTTACCTATTTTAAGGGGTTGATGGCTCCCTATATACTTCTAGCAACACTCTTAACTTTCCTAAAATAAGAATTACTATAGTACCTCCCTATTTGTAGGGGGAGTCACTGGAGCTCCTTTATATTTTTTTCATTTTTTTTTGACTTGCTTTGTTTAGGGACTGTAGTACACATTTACAATTTTTTTTTAAATTTATAATTAAAAATTATATTTTAATAGAATAGAAAAAAAATATATAGTTTATTAATAGAATAGAGAAAGAATAGGGAGTTTTTTGGGAGAAGTAGATGAAAAAGTGATTTATTGTCTGATAATAATAATTTTTTTAATAATATTTTGGGATACTTACGTATAGGTTCTAATAAGTAGATTTATTGTCTGATAGATCCTATGAGAAAAATTTATCATAAAAAAATGTCACTAATTGTAAGTTTTAGCGACAATTTATAAAAATCTTGACAAAAAAAGTCACTAATTGTCAATTTTTAGAGACGTATGTAAAAATTGTCACAAAAAAAATATTTTTAGCTACAATTTTATTAAAATTTATTTTCAATAGGACTTGATGAGAATTAAGTCTAACTATTAAGATCTATTAATAATTTACCCTTTTAAGATAAAATTTAGGTAAGCTGCTTAGAATGCTCTTAGTGTGCCACGAGGCAATGAAGTTAAATGGAGACACAAAAAAGCAATGAATTTGACAGGTTTATAGTACTTTCTTGGTTTAGTTTAATTTTCAAAGATGACGATAAGCAAAGCACTTAGCACTTGTATAAAACCAGTGTCGAGTATATGGTTATGGATTTGATGTCATTAGAAAATTGCCTGTGATTTGGGTGGGGAGAAGAAAGGTTTGTGGTTGTAATTAACTAGGAGAAGAAAGGTTTGTGGTTGTAATTACTTGAAGAGTCCCCTTATAATCATTTTTATGACAACTTATCAAATCAAATAACTTTTTAAGATGATCAGCTCAAACCAACTAAAATAAACTCACCTTTTAAATTTTGTAATTTTAAATTAATCCAATGAGATTACATGTACTGTGACCAATCAATTAGCAAACAATAAGAGACTTTGATCTCTGTCATATCGATGGGGTATGTTTGGCAATAGTTATTATCTGTTTACAAATAAATGTATATTCACTCGTGAAGAAGCATATAATCTTAAGGATTGGTTGAGCGGTAAAAATTTAAGAATAAGATTTAAAATTTCAAATTCAAGTCACTCATGAGACTACTGAAACTTTACCCAATCGTTAGTTTTCGAATCCTTGATTAGTCGTTTTACAAAACATAAATATACTTGTTGAGAATATAAATACTAAACTCTCTAAAAGTTTAAGTTTTTTATGATGACTATATTTAAGTACTAATTACATAATTTGAAGTGAAACTTCACATGGCGTTAATCACTTTATTAGGTGGTATGACATTTTTTTTCTTCTAAAAAATAGTACTAGTTATTGAGCTTAATATGTTGTCACCATAACATTAAACTTAGATGAACCATGAATAGCTCCCCTAATTGCACACAAAGCTTTCATAGATCAACACGTTGCAGTACATTACACAACAAAAAGGATAACAAACTTTAAATCCTGTAAAAAGTAAAGTAATCAGTAGTTAAAAACCAAAAAAGTAATCACTACTTAGACAAATGCCATTAGTTCAAAACACTAAAATAACTTAATATCCACAAAATGTTATTAGTGGACTAAGAGCTCTCAATAAACTTACCTAAGCGCAAATTAGCATGCGTAAAACGCACCATCCACCACTATGATTATAGCACGAAATACGCATTATAAACGAACAATGCCACAAGAGGGATGAGAATGACCTCATTAGAGTTTAAAAAAACAGAAATCTAATGGAAATTAAAGATAATGATGACCTTATCCTCTTTGAGCCACTCACAATGTGATGACCTCATAAGAGAAATAATAAACAAGGGAAGAAAAAAAGTTTGTTTGATTGAGTGGGGAGAAAGTGGAGCACAGGGTACCAAAAATTGCTAGTCTACATGATGGAAGAGTGTAAGGGTATGTTTGATTGATAGGATTAGAGTATGAAATTGAGATGATTAATTTGTGGGTTCATCAATTTTGTATTTGTTTTGAAATTTTGTTTTAGGATTATTAATCTAATGGATAATTAATTCAACAAATTTGTAGGATAATTAGTAATGTGGTAGAGGTAGGATTATCTATCCTGAGTTGGTAAATAAAATAAAATGGCTCTTTTACCATTGATTAAAAATTAAAACACCTATTATTTTTATATAATTTTATATTTTAGAAGGCTAAAAATAATTTTTAAATATTTTTTGATATTTATTTTATCAAATTAATTTATATTTTTTAAAAAAAATTAAAAACAAACCAAACATGACCTTTGTATTTTGTATTTTTATTTTGCTTTTATTTATTTATTTATAATTTTTTTCAAAACCACGTTTATGAAGAAATTTTGATAAAGTAAAGATTGTTAAGAAATATTGATGGATAAGATTGGAAAAAAAGATAAATATAGTTATAATCCTACGTTCATATGTTTTCTTATCCAATTCAAATCAAACAATAGACAAAGGAATAATTTATCCTACTAATCTAATTGAATTGTGAATACCACACTAATTTAATGAAATTATTATGAAACCTATTCTAAAAGTTTTGAGAAGAAATGAATATTTCTTATGAGGAAGAGGTATGGCCATGTGACTATATCACTATTCTTTTGTTATTCATATTTCAGTTCTGCCTTTCTTAAACCCCCATAAACAGTAGCTCAATCTGGCCCACTAATCCAGCCTTCTCCTTCTATAAAACCCCTCTAATCCTCTCATCATTCTCTCCAAAAAATACCACAAACTTCCCAACTTGTCTAGCCATCATGCCTCCATCTGAGATCAACCCACAAGATTCCATCCCTCTTGTTTGCTCTACTGAAATAAACTCTTCTTTGTTCCAAAACAACATACCATTCCAGTTCAATGGATTCCACTCCACCTTTCCAAATTCTCACCCCTATCATCTTCTCCATGAGTTCCCTCCACAGTCATCATGTCTCAGCACCAACTCAACATCTGATGAAGCTGAGGACTACCAACTCAGCATCATCGTCGACGAAAGGAAGAAGAGGAGGATGATTTCCAACAGGGAATCTGCTCGAAGGTCACGAATGCGAAGACAGAATCACCTTGGTGAGCTTCAATCACGCGTGATCTTGCTTTGGACTGAGAATCATAATCTTACTGAAGAGAATTCGAAACTGAGAGAAGAAGTCTCTGATCTTCGAAAAATGATCACTGAGCTCGGAATTGGTAGTACTTACAATGGTGTGTGTGATCTGGAAGAGTTTATCTGCAACACAGCTCATCTCAGAGCTGAATCTTCAAACCAATCCATCAGTACTACTACTACTTCCACTAATCTGTTGCACTGAAACAGAGTCCAATTTTCTTTCATTGTGTTTCTCTAGTTTACTTCTTGTCTCTAGTGGATGGTTATCAGTCTTTGATGGCATTTGATTGAGCTGTGGGAGATCAGAAACAAACTATGCATTGACATCTTATAACCCATTTGAGTAAAACTTGCTTTAAACTCTTCTGGCTGCATAATTATACTCCGAAAAATTAAAATCGCATAGAATTCGATTATAAAATCAGACATAACTCTCTCACATGAGAATGATCTTATTAATGTATAAGTGTATTTTTTGTGGAAAGGCTGTGTATGAATTGTGTACAATTAAAAGAAATATTATATAATAACTCGTGCAGAAAAATATATAAAAGTGACACATATTATTACAAAAGCTTAACAAGTTTTTTTTTTTTTTAACTCGGTATCCAATAATGACCGATTAATCTAGGGATCGTTCCTCTCTCTCATTCTTTTTATTTATTTATTTATAATAATCTAGGTAAGCAGAGAAATTTTATTAATATCAAGTAATTATTATACACATTACACTACAATACATAAGAGTTTTAGGTTTTAATTTTTTTTGAGCAATGTTAGGATGTCTAATCTTTTTGAATTTTTTTTATCCTAAAAGGAAAAAATTTAAAACACATTTGGGAACGAACTTTGTGGCCCAATATATGTGTACTTTGCACTGATCGTATGGTGTTTGTATTGAGCCCACTTTATTACGGGCCAAACTGCTTTCAGGTCTGCATTTCATTTCTCCTTGGGAGGCTGGGCCTTAACCTTATGACAAATTTTAGATTCGAAAATTATTCAGTAACAAAATAAATCCTAATTCACATTTAACTCATTTTTTTTAAGGATTGTGATTCGGGCGAGTCTGTCCAAGTTCAACTTAAAAATTAATTAGAGTAATATGTATCAAAAAATAAAATTAGTTATATTGAATCCAACTTTGAAAACATAAGTATTATATATGTTTATTATATATTAATAATAGAATTCAAAGAGCTTGTCTGCTTGAGTCCTAATTAAATTTAATTTAAATTGATAAATTTTAACTAAGCTCAAACCAAATTTAAAATTAGACAATCAAAACCTTAAACTATTTATAAGCAAGGTTTAATTTGGGAAGTGGGTTGGGCTAATTTAGTTCACAAAAAGACAAAATATGCTAAATAGTTAAAATAAGATAAAATGTCACATTCAAATTATAATCATTTTTTTTTTTTCTAACAATCATTACATTCAAACTAAAAAAAGCCAAAATTTATCTCAGGGCTAATTTATCTTTATCTAAGATAAATTAGTCAAAACGTCGGAATAAATTAGCTCTTTCTAAACGAAAGCTAAGATTGTTAAGGTTAAGCCCGTTCAAGTTGCACCTTACTTCTTATTATATATATATATTTAGGAGTTGTTTGAAATGATCTAAGTAAGTGTATTTTTTTACTTTTTACGAAAAGATATATAAAAAAATAAAGAGGTAATAAAATCCAAAAAAGATAAAAAATGAAAGAGTCTAGTTACCCCAAATAGTGCCTTAAAGTTATGACGTTCAAACATTGGATAAATTACTAACTTCTAAATAGAACTTCAATTTTGTCACAGTTACGAGCTAATCTCCATGTAAATATTGAAACAAAGACCTCATAGTATATTATAGCTCTTATTATATATATATATATATATTTAGGAGTTGTTTGAAATGATCTAAGTAAGTGTATTTTTTTATTTTTTACGAAAAGATATATAAAAAAATAAAGAGGTAATAAAATCCAAAAAAGATAAAAAAAATGAAAGAGTCTAGTTACCCCAAATAGTGCCTTAAAGTTATGACGTTCAAACATTGGATAAATTACTAACTTCTAAATAGAACTTCAATTTTGTCACAGTTACGAGCTAATCTCCATGTAAATATTGAAACAAAGACCTCATAGTATATTATAGCTCTTAGACATAGCAACATTTAACCAAAGAAATGAAAAGATAGAGTAAGATAAAAAGCAAAAAAATGAAAATTAAACATCAAGGTTCGCTGGTGTTTTCAGTGTAGATATAATCTGAATGATCAATCATAGACCTTCTCATCAAACACCATTCACTTTCCAAATCTCTACATCCCTCATCTTCAATGCTTGCTTCCTCCTAACAGAACAAAAGGGCACAAAAATGAGAAAAAAATAAAAACATATTTCAATGTGTACTCATAAACCAAAATGTCCAATTATATTGTAGAAATCAAAGTAGCCGCCTAAGATTTTTTAAGGCCTTAGGTTAAAAATCAAAATGAGGCATTATTTTACCGGGTTTTTAAAAATTTGACACCTTCAACAGTAAATATTGGAGGCTTTAGGCGATAGACTAAGTGACTTAATGATTGAGCCACCTCTGACAACTCAATAAAATTATAAAAAAAATAGTAGTTATAATTTATAAATCTGCTTAAAACTTATCACATCTTGTGTTTTTGTGTGCATAGATAGCGTGTGATAGAAAGAAACTTACAGTTGACGGTGTCATAGGAAGAGAAGCTGGTCCATGTGGGTTAGATTCCGGCACGGTGATGGTGGTGGTGATGGAGATAGGTCTGGCTTCAGCATATGAGAGTAAAAGGAGGGTTGTGATGAAGAAAGGGAAGCACCTTGTCATGTTTTCACACACACTTGCAAACAGATAGAGGTATGTAAAAATTGGAAGGGAGATTGCCAAACATTTTATAGAGAAATGTGAGTTGTGGCCCTATAATGGTGAATAAAACAAAGTATGCATAATGAAGCATTGGCACTTAGTTTATTTGACAGAGTGTGAGTCACTTTTAAATAAATACAGTATTGTCAATATTTCATTCTATATAGTATTGTTTGTAGCACACTCACTCACTCACCTGGAAGTGCTAAACCAGAAAGTCAAAATCATCACCATGAATGAACAACCTAGCTAGGGTCAATGTTCTTCTTTCTTTCTTGGGAACATCACCATTTTTAGAAAAGTCATTGATGGATGAGAGAGAGCTGTTTCTTTTACCTCTTTCCATGTTGCTGTCTCTTATCTGTTACTATCTATGTGTGATAACAAGTGAAAAACTAGCATATGTGCAGTGCAGTCCAGTATTACAAGGTCTAAGGAGAACTAGATGTGTTTAATCTTATTATGTGTGTGCAAAGAGGGTATTTTTACAGTCTTATTCTTTCAAAATTCAAAAATGTTAAAAAAATTTAAAATTTTACATAATACTCAAACATTACTTGACTTTGTTTAGTCCCCAAATCCAAAGTTTCAAACAATAATTAGTAAATGAATTTCTAAGCATTTAAGGATCATAGACACAAGAGCTTCCAACACAGAACACTAAAACAGGACTTCTTAATTATAATTTATAATATATGCAAATAATTGAATTTATTGTGTGACGCGAGATATGTATTATCGAGGACCTTTGACCACAATCCAGCATTGAAAGTGGATGCTTTGGTTTTGGCTGCTCAAAGAATTGACTATATAATAAAATTACTAGCATTTCTCAATTTTTTATATATATTAATTATGACATTTTCTTAGTTTATGTATTTAAGAAACTGTGAAATTTCATAGTTTTCGTATAAAAAGAATAAAAAAAGTATATAACTGAGAAATTTCTCAGTTAAAAATTGCTAGTTTTTATCACTTTATTTTTCTTCAAAATTTTATATTGAATATGTTTTCTCAAATAAGTTTCAAACACATAAATTTTATGAAAACTTGATCTCTAGAATAAAAGTTATAATATTTTAAAATTGTAAATAAAAAAATATAACTATGTCTCCACATTATTTATATGTCTCTCATGTTTTAACAGCATAATGGTATTTCAAACCAGTGGTGTTGCATAAACGTAATGAATTAATAGAATTTTATAAGACCTAATCTAGCAAAATTGAAATTATGGCACCTACAAATTTTTTTTATTCATATTTAAAGTTACCTTTCTTCTTCATCATTTATACCATTCTCAATCACTTCCCAAGCCTCTATTTGCTCTCTCTTCTTTCTCTCTCTCTCTCTCTCTCTCTCTCTCTCTCTGGAATTTTTTACAAACAAAAAAGTTATTAAAAAAAAGTTTATAATAAAAAATAAAAAGTTTTCAATTCATACAATAATAATAATAATAATAATAATAATTTATTTTCATTTATCCAACTTTTTTTTTTTTGCACAATCTTTTGTAAAAAGTCAAAAAAATATTTTCTAAACATTTGGTTCCAATTTTCTGAATTCAGTTTTCTAAAAATTGAGTTTTTTGTTTTTTATATTTTTTTATTTTTAGTGAATATTTTTTAAATTTTAAGCAATTTTTTTTTTTACTTTTTAAATGCACCTTACTTAGACGTATTTAAATAGTAAAATATTTGAAAAAAAATATTTTAAAAAATTAATAAATACACAAAAATATTTAAAAAAATGTACTGAATTTCAAAAAAAAAAATATTTTTTGGTAGTTATTGTATTTTTTAAAGATTTTTTCACAAATATTATACTTTTTAAGTGTATTTATGTTAGGTGTGTCTAAAGATTAAAAAAAATTCTTAAAATATTAAAAAAAATCATTGAAAACATTAAAATACGAAAAATAAAAAAGTAAAATTTTCTGAAAACTATTTTCTGAAAAGCAGAACCAAACAAAGTGATTAGTTTTTTTCACCTCATGTTTTACAATAGTGCTACATACACCAATTAGTATACCAACATATATTATAATAGTGTCACTTAATAATTATGAACTATACCCATTATACAAATTATAAAGATTTAAAATCTCTAAAATTATGTCACATCATCTATTAATATATTAATTAACATAACAATTAGTACATATAATTTTATTTTATATCTTAATCAAAAAATAAAATAAAAAAATCACTTTCCAAACCAACCATTTGTCTGATTTCATGGCAGGCCAAAGTTAATCAAGCACAGTCATCTTTGACTCTTCCACCGCCACCACACAACCAACCCTTCTCTCTTCCCCAACCACCGAATGGCCATCATCCTGCTCTTCTCCCCACTGACCACCACTTTTGAACAACTTGGGGTTGTGCAGAAAACTCAATCTATGGCATTTGACAAACAAAATTTGAAACCATTTGGCATGAGATTCAAAGGAAATGGAGTCGGGGGTTTGAATCTTAACATT